AGACTGGGAACAACTCTTCACACACCAACTTAAAGTTTTGTTATGAGACTTACACAGTTGTGATTCAGGCTGTATTTCATATTGTGTTTATGGCTGTGACCAAAAAAAGGTTGAGAATGGCTGGTGTACTGGACAGAGTGATGGACTAGGATTTGTGACACCTGGGTTTAAATCCTGTTCAGCTGTTCATGGTGGGAAATCTGGAAATAGTAAAACCACTCCTTAAATATCTTGCCTACCTTGAAAGTGATATTAGAGTTGTTATAAGTCAATTCCAGCTTGACAGCACATAACATGTCCAAACAAAGTACTTTTCAAGTTCTGACATTATGCAATTTACTGCACTTCCTGCTTTGAAAGGGAGTTAAATGCAGGGCCCTTTGAGATTGCTTCCATTTTGCCTACATTAGCTGAAATCCAGTAGTAAGTTGCAAATAGAGGAGGCCTATTGAATCAATATGTGAGTCAACACATACTGCGAGTTTCAATGATTTGGTGATTCTCCTCTAATTCTGGCTTTCTACTGAATTTCAGTCTTTAAGTTCTGGTTCATTTTTTGTGAACTTAGCTAGGAGCTATCATGAGAAAATGTACAGTTGCAAAATAAAGAGAGGATGGAAGAATATAAATTATTAGAAAGTTCTACTTATTGTTCTTAAGTTTTTTTCTTAATTTATGGGTGATGTGAATTTTTAATTTCAGGAAGGAGGTTTTAGGTGTTGAGAAGAAACCTGTTCAACATGCATTTGTTTTGGTATGTTTCTTGAGTTGCTTACTTAGATACATGTACCACTAAATTAAATGAAACTTACAGTAAATGTATGCTTAGGAAATTGATGTATCTACATTCATTGTGAAGCAGATTTTTGCCTTTTGAATCTCTTGCTGAAAGTTCTTGGACTACAGTTCTTAGAATCTTGCAGCCAAGTTATTCTAGTGTTGGATGTACTTTTATATATTGAAAATCCATTCATGCTCTGCTACGAGCAGGTATGGATTTTTCATTCCACAGGTAAAGAGGATGGGTATTAGGAAGCAGGTGGCATTTGCTGTGTGTGTGTGCGTGTGTGTGTGTGTGTGTGTGTGAGAGAGAGAGAGAGAGAGAGAGAGAGAGAGAGAGAGAGAGAGAGAGAGAGAGAGAGAGAGAGAGAGAGAGAGAGAGAGAGAGAGAGAGTTTTTACCATGGTTTCTGCAGCTTGTCTTCACTTCTCACACATTTTTTCCTGCAGATCAATCAATAGTGTGTCACCTGTGAATATTCCTGTGTATTCTCACAGGTCTGTAAGTTGCTTTTTTTGCCATTAGTAAGCACTGATGGCAAAAAAATAACAGCCGTCTAATGAGAATATTACCAGAAGTTCAGTTTGCATGGCAGAGTTACCATGTAAGGAAGGCTTGTCTGGAAGGTAGTGACTGACCCAAGGATGGCAAGTAAACTATGTGGTTCAGCAGAAATTTAAACTTGCACCTCCCTCTCCCAAGTATAACACTGTAACTATTATACTGTACTGACTCCTTCATATCAAAGGTTATTGTATAAATGATTCCAAGGTTAAGATACATTGGTACAAAAATAATGCAATAATTAGCATGTTTTTAATTTGCATAATATGAAAAATCCACATTAGCGTATTATGCAAACTGCTGGATAGCTCAGTGGTTTGGGCATCTGGCTGTGGAGCCAGAGTTGGAGCGCTCAGTTACCCTCTGTGCCTCCCGTACAGGGTTGGGACTCAGTGATCCATAGCTCTGCAGTTCTAAGATTATCATATTAAGATTAAATTTGCACACGCTACACGTTGGCCTGTCTGATTTGCGTAGCTATACCTATGAGGCTGCCCATATTTGGAGATCTGGAATATGGCACCCCTGTTCATAAGTATAAAAAAGCTGCAGCAATATCATGCAAACATGAATTTTGTATATGGGCTTCACATGGATGGGCTTGCACTGAGACCTGGGAATGTGAAAGGTGTGCATTAATTTATATTCTGATATCAAAATAAGACATACAGTTGAAGAATTATGGTCATGGAAGCATGTGGGTCTAAGTCTAAATCTTCAATTTCTCATGTAATGTTTGTACAGTCAGGTGTTCTGTGTAAGGGTCTTCCAGCCATAAATCACTCTAACAGAATAATGCCTGCTAGCTGTACTTGCTTCTCAGCTTTTGGGTCCTAGCTGAGTGCCCCTAGGAGATAACTGGGTGTACAAGATATGAAAGGAGAGGGAAGAACCTGCTTATACATCAGAGTAGGTAATGGGCAAGGCTTTCCTTCTTAACATTCAGTAGCGAAGGTAAAGAGGCTTAAATAGTTCATAACGGGAGTTTGCTGGCTGAACAGCAAAACTTTTATTGGAATGTGAGGAACACAGTCTTGCTTGGGCTTGTGCCATAGATTTTTTTTTCCTGTTTTCCTTTTGCCTTTACTTTGCCATTTTATGGAACTAACTTGAGTATGCCAGATATCCAAGGTGATGTGGAGGCTACCCTTTGAGAAGTAGGAAAGGAGACCTTCCTTAGATCCACTCAGCTAGTTGCAAGATTCTTTGGATCTTGGCCTTAATATATATGATTTGCTGAATCTTATTCTTTAACAAAAGGTCATTGATAGGTCTTCCTTGGGGCACTGCATTATATTATGATCTTCTGACAGCAAGCATAAACTGCAGGGTTGGTTTGAAAAGCCACTGTTCCGGGACTAAGAATGCAAGAGGCTGTAAGGGGTTCCTTCTTGAGATGGGCACTGACCATGGTTTGGCTATTCAGTGTGGTTCAGAGGATTAGGCCCACTGGTGTTGTGTGGATGCCCCAGGTTCCTCCTGTGGGCAGCCTATCAGAAGCGGCACCACAGGCTTCCCTCCCCTTCCTCTTCCTCTGGATGGGCACCTGCAGGTGGAGGCAGGGTGTGGAATCCTGTAGGTCCAGTCCGCTGTACTGCATTGAAGTGCAGTAATTGCCCATCTCTAGTTCCTTCAGGTTGTTACAAATCAAACTTCTCTTCCTCCAGGGAAAGATGCCATGAGTGTTTCGCTGAAGGACAATCATATATATTAAGGCTAAGGTCCAAAGTAAATGTTGGTTCCGTTTCCTCCATGGTCCCTTACAGCAGTGGTTCTTAACCTTTGTTACTCGGATGCTTTTGAACTGCAACTCCCAGAAACCCCAGTCAGGACAGCTGGTGGTGAAGGCTTCTGGGAGTTGCAGTCCAAAACTCCTGAGTAACCCAAGGTTAAGAACCAGTACCTTACAGTATACACTTATACACTAATCTAAGGCTGTGTTATCAACAACAGGAATTTAAAACATTCTACTGGGGAAAAAAGTATTTTGTGCTTATTCTCCAGACAACATTGCGTCATGAGTATCTAATATTTATCATTTCTTGTACCATTAAATAAGGTAGGTGTGTGTGTGTGTGTTGCTGATTGTTACATATTGGGGACAGTGGCATCAGACTGCATTGTCTGTGACAAAAGTCTATCAAATATAAAATTATTTTTGCCTCACATTAAAGCTGGTGCTGCTACAGTAGTAGACATCCTGCTGATAGGATATAAATTGGTTCGCTTTTCCATGTGTCCGACTTACTTTGCATTGTTCTGTGCTTTTATGGTGCTTCTCACATTCTTGCTCCAGATAAGCTCACCAGCCACTGCAGCTCTCTCATTTTCCAGCTCATGCCTTTTGAGTCTCTTGCTGAGCTGTGGCTGAAACAACCTCCCACTTCCATCTGCCAGTCTCACTTCTTTCAACCTTGCTCAGGCCTTGTTCGCAAAACTGTTCACCAGCCTTATTTTTCCTAACAGTTCTGCCACCAATTAATTGTATTCTTAAATTAGTCTTTTCTTGTTTTAAATTTTTGATCATTATTATTCATTTTAGAGCCGTTGTGACTACTGTAACATAGATGTTGTCTGAGGATGTATTTTTTGTGCCACGTTCTGTGTCTCACTTTTTGGCACAAAAGAAAATGCAACAGGAGTACTGTAATTGCAATGCAGTAAGATCCAAGAACTTGACTGGTTTGGTTCTGCTTTAGAGAAATCATAGCATTATTTTCACTAGGATTAACTGAAAGCACAAGAGATAACAAATCCGGTTGGAAAAAGTTGCATTAGTTTGGGGCCATGGAGTCTACAGCAGAGAGAATGCAGTTCTACAAAGTGTTATGAAAGCAGGTCACTAAGATTTAGTAAAATTTTAGTAAGGTAATTCTTGTCTTCTTGTTGATGACATCATAAAGCCAAACAGAGGTTGGAGGTTTTAACTGGATTAGGTTCCAGTTGTCTTGTACAGTTTTTAAAAAATGTTTATAGTAAAAAATGTTTCTTGAATGTAGCACACTAAAAAAAGCTATGTGCCCATTCTCCCTTTTCACTTTAGTGGGTGAGAGAAAGTTCTTTCTGTTTCATTAGTTTGGATTACGGGCAGGATCCAGTGACCTCCACCTGGCATAACAGCAGAATCTAGTGGGATCAGGAGAGGAGCAGTGTCCCCTCACCAGCCTCTCACATCTCTAGAATCAGTTGTGGAAAGCTGAGAAAGTTCCAGAGCTCATTCTTGGGCACATATTTGGTGGGGGGGGGGAGATTAAGCAAAGTTAAGAGCACACGAACTTCTTTCTGCATGACAGATGGTCTCTGGAGCTAAGCGTTGAATGATACATTTTCAACAATGAAAAATATAGACACATCTAGCCATGTGAGACAGGCAGGATTCGCCTTTTAGAAGCAAAAAGCATGTATGGAAAACAGTAAAGGCAAATGGGGAGAAGAGTAGCTGAATTTTGATGTAGGAGAGTCTCAACACACATTACAGTGGCTATTTTTGTTGCTAAGTCTTCCTATTATTTATTTTATTTTTCATATGGTGTTTGCATTTTTTGTAATTGAATTTCCCAGGCCTTCGTATTACACTGAAATGGGATTTTCATATCACAAATAAGATCGGTTATAAATAGGAAAAAAAATTTGACCACGTTGTCCCTCTGTTTCAGGTGATCAAACTTTAAGAATCTGGGATGCAAAAGCACCAAGACTCCCAGTGATAATCCCTGCTCACCAGGCAGAGATTTTAAGTTGTGATTGGTGCAAGTATGATCAGGTATGGTAGATAAAAATAAAGAATTTCTGAACCCTGAAAAAAACTACCTAGTAAAAAGTAGTGACATCTGTGAATATAGATGCAGATAACAATTAATGTCACAATGTGCCAAAATTAAGTTCCTGGAATAGATTTTGTTGTTGTTGTGTCCCATCATGCCCCTCCGAATTTATCATGAATCCATGAATTAGTGATCTCCAAAATGTTATGTCCTCAGCAGCCCTGCTCAGCTCTTGCAGACTCAAGCCTGTGGCTTAATTTAGGGAGTCAGTTCATCTTAATATTTGTCCTTCCTCTTTTTCTGCTGCCTTCAACCTTTCCCAACATTATTGTCTTTTCCAGAGAATCCTGTCTTCTCATGATGTGCCCAAAGTAGGACAACCTCAGTTTCAACATATTTGTCAGGCCTGAATTGCCTTGAAATCTAGGACTCAACTTGTTCATCTTTCTGGCAGTCCCAGGGTATCTGCAGTGCTCTCCTCCCGCACCACATTTCAAATGAATCAATTTTTTCTCTCTTTTTTTTTCCCTCAGAAGGAGTGATATAAGCCCTTCCTTAACTTTGGCAGGAACTACACATTTCACATACTTGGCAATAAGTTTTTTTACTTGGGTTATCTGAAAACGGGCATGAAATGGCCTGTTTCACATGGAGCAGTCCTTGGCCCTCAGGCTGATCAGTGCTGGGACACTTCCTGCTGCTATTAACAGCGCCTGCCATGTGAGGAAAAAGGAGCAGCTGGAGCTGCCCCACTCCACCCCGACAAAAATTGTCACCAGCCAGCCAGTGTTAAGGTGGCTGGGAAACCTTCCAGCACCGACTGGGCAGCATTGCTGATATCTTGCCTGAGGGGCAGCTCCAGCAGGTCCATTTTTACTGCACAAGGAGCCCTGACCGCGGTGCCATCAGTAGGTGGGAAACCTGCCAGCACTTGCTGATGGGGACAGAAGCCTTGATATGGTTTTAAAAGGCTGCGGGTTTGCACTTCTGAAAAACATACCAGGGCTTGTGTCATGTGAAGCAACTGAAGTCACTGCAAAGCAACTTCAGTCCTTTCTGAAAGTGTAGTTATAGCCATACAGTGGTGCCTCGCATAACGATGTTAATTGGTTCCATTAAAAACATCGTTATGTGAAAACATCGTTAAGCGAAACACCATTTCCCATAGGAATGCATTGAAAACCGGTTAATTCATTCCAATAGGACCCTATTCAATACATTTCAATGGTGAAAAAAAATCACCAAAAATTCAAAAAGACTCAGAACAAAGTCAAATTACTTTAACGAAGGTTTTATTAGGTGCACTAACAATTCCAAGCATTTTAAACATTTTTAAACATTTTAGAATATTTTTAAAATAGCAAAAACAGGGCTGTCAAAAAAACGTTAAGCGAAACAGGGGTCCTAAAACTGCCATCGTTAAGTGAAGCAATGTCCCAAACATCGTTATGCGAAAATCCCCCATAGGAAACATCGTTAGGTGAGGCGGCAAAATTTCCAGCAAAGGCCGTCGTTATGCAAATTCATCGTTGAGCGAGGCACTCGTTAAGCGAGGCACCGCTGTACTTAACTTTGGCTGGATTGTCTCTCCCCCCACTTTTTAGTCTCTTAAAGATTGCAAACCATTGCCAGACTTCTTTTACAAAATGCATTTTTTTAATGTAGTAAATCATTACTTCTCCTGCTTGCTTAAAAGGCTTGTGCCTCTGGGAGGGCACTGTTGTTTTCATTTTTGCTCTTCCAGTAGATGAAGGGGAATATATTCATTTGGGTTCTAGTTTGAATTTTGCTATTTCATTAGCACTTGTCTGGATGACACTGTGTTTGTACAGAAGCAGCTGTGTTCTCAGATAATCAATCAATCAATCAATAGCTTTTCTCCTAGCACTGGGACTCAACCGTTTAAAAAGGTTAATTGTTGTGTCTACCAGCATGCCTTTCTTGTTAATCATCATTACTAGCAATCAGAGATGTTTCACGTTCGACTTTTTGTATGCTAGTACAAAATAGACATGTTTCATGAAAAATGGAATACTTGTATGTGAGAGTTCCTACATAACACTCTTGTGTTATGAGTTTGAGCTGCAACAGTCTCCATGAATGGTGACAGAGGCAGCTTCTCTGCCAGCGCAGAAGTTAGGAAGGTTCTGTTTTTTGTTGATCCATAGCCTAGTGTGTGTTGTCTGAATGCAAACCTATGGATTGCTCCTACAAACCAACTTCATATCCCATGGTTTCAACTTGACTTGTTGTGACAAACTGTAGTTAAGATTCAGACACAGTTTGTTGGGTTAAGTGACACAATTGACAAAGAGGACAGTAAAAACAAGACTCCTTTTGGCCAGATCAAAAGAGAAGGGGAAAGTTAAAGATTTACTGTAGCTTATTTTTATAACACTGAACTATAATTGTTACACTGATACTGACAGAATTAAGGGAAGGAGAGAGGCAGTTTGGATAAAGGACAGGGAAAAGAAAAAGGCATGTTGATTTAAAATAGTTGTCTGAATTTTTAGCACTGGGTCTATGCTATTTAAAATGTTCTCATGCTTTTTCTTAATCATGTATGTTGTCTTGAATATTTTATTAATTGATTAGAACTTGCTCGTAACGGGTGCTGTTGACTGCAGTTTGAAAGGCTGGGATTTAAGAAACATCCGTCAACCAGTGTTCAGCCTCCTTGGACATACTTATGCTGTAAGAAGAGTAAAAGTAAGTATGAATTTTTCTTTATGGTTACACCTGCAGATTTCTATAGGCTTAATAATATGAGTTAATGAGTATCATTTTTTAAATGAAATATTAAAGTCAAATATTATCTGGGAATAATTTTCAGTTACTAAGATCACGCTAAACAATAGTTCATTATTGGCTTCTGATAATTTCCTTAATTTATTTAAAATTATAAGTAAATTCTAATGTATGACTCAAAAGTGAGCCTCCTCAGCATCGGCATCAGGTGGGCCTCCTCTATACAAACTACATTAGATTAAATTTTACCTCATGTGCTGCCTTCCTATAAAGGCAGTTTATTACAGGGGGCAGACAGTATGCAAGGTTAAGAAACAGTGCATTGATTTATAAAAAAATGAACATTTTAACAATAACAATATATTTCAAATAGAGTGTAATATAAGTATCTCATAATCTCAGTAACGATTCATAAGAAACATTTTTAATCAAACCAAAATCTTTGCATAGATGTTAAAATATAACTACTAGTAAACATCAGCAGCAATTGTATTTTCTCAGTTTGTTGTATGTCATCCAGAATGAGTTTCTCCCCTTTACAGGCCTTTCCAAAACCAACTTCTCTTACCTCCTAGAGTTGAAGTAAAGCAGCTGGCAGCAGCTTTGATAGCTGCAACAGTGTGTGTCTTTTGGGCACAACTTCTGTGCCACATGGCTTTTGCATTCCTAAGTAATCTGGGAGCAGCTCCCATGCGAATTTTCAGTATTCTAAGATGCTCATTTTAAATATGTGCTGGTGGGTTGTCTTTTTCCTCTCATTTTTGGGATAAAGTGGCCTTTTTGTCTTTTGTAGTACTTCTGATAATATGTGGAAGTGGCCATTAGGATGAAATATGGGGTTATTTCATCTGTCTGTCAGATATGTGCAGCTTGAGAGAGAGGGGGGGAGATTTAAAAAAAACAGAATTTTCAGGACTATAACCCTTTCTGGTAGCAGAGTTGTTGTTTTTCGCTGCTAATGTGCTTCAGATGAGTTCAGATGTAATTTTCCAAGAGCCAGAAATAAGGTTGACAAGAGTTTGGCACATGCCTCCCATCTTTGCCGCAGCCTTTGTTCATCTCTACAGTGGATGCCAAACACTATAATAATATATCTCCTTTCTGTTATGGGTGAAATGATGAGAAACGTTTGTGCTGCTGCCAGGTTTCAGGCTTGAATCCAGTTACTTCAACAATAGTAATTAAATTAAAAGAGCGCCATGGGAGAAAGTACGGCCTTGGTGCTAGCAGAATAACATATTTCTGTCTCTTAAATATTCTGTGGGTATTATACAGTTTTAGAGGAATACGGCTGCTGAGAATCAGGCAAGTGTTTGAATTATTTCAACAATACTGTTTTTATTTAAGGTTGATTTTTTTGGAGAGTGAGAATTCATGTTCAGTCGGTAGCCCAAAGAAAAATGTACTAGCCACCTTGGGTGACTACCTGAGTTCAAATCTTGAGTTATAATAAGGCTGCTGGGTGCTGCTGTAATGAAATCGAAACTAGCAATTTTGTCACATTGAGTGACATTTCCCTTTGGAGCCTTTATATTCTTACTTAATAAAACATTGTTTTTAGTAAGCATTTCTGTTAATTCTCCTCTACCCATGTATTTCGTGCCAGTAATATTTGGGTGTTTTTCCCCCCGTCTCTGTGCAGTTTTCACCATTTCATCCTACTCTCCTGGCGTCCTGCTCCTACGACTTTACTGTGAGGTACAGTAATTAATTTTTACAGCATACACATACATCTGACTTACACTTTAGGAAGCATATGCCAGATTTTGTGCTCAGTCCATGGGAGCAGTATTTCTAGGGGAAGGTGCTTTGCAAAGATTCTGTGTGATGTAATTTGATTCTAACTTAGACAGCCATGAGCTAAAGGTAGATTCTGCCCTCAGGAAAGATGTTCTGTCCAGGAAAAGGTCTTCTGCTTTTACTGCAGAAAGTAGCCTTGTAATTTCACCATCTGGTTCTGTTAGTGAAAGCATGACAGAGAAAACTGTTACTATCTCAGATTCCCCCCTCCCCAATCAGCTTGATACATTTTGGGTCTAACAGATGGTTTTCTTATTGTGGTATCTTTACACCCTTGTGTTGGTAAATCTGCAAAGAGCATATGCCATGTGCGAATAAAGGAAGTGAAAAGGTTGTGTGCAAATGTGCAGACTGTAGGAAATCAATAGGTGTACCTACAGAAACATATGCAGATACAAGATGCATAAGGTGCTTTTGGGGGAGGCTTTTGTGGGAGGAAAAGTGCCGAATCAGTGCACCTGCCACTTGCCATTTGCACATGAACTGCAAGTGACTGTGCTCTTTGATACTAGATGAAATGTCTTTAACTTAAACTGGTACACAGCCATCAATAGTAGTTGCAAACCAGTATGCTTTTTCTTTGTATAGTGTCTCTCTGTTTTTCGTCCTGGTTTGTAATACCCTTCCATTTAGAAATATCTCAAGCCTAGTTTTCACAAATAACAAGTGAGGTGATAAACATCCTTCTCCGCTTTGGCCTAAACTGCACCATCCTTTTGATATTTGGCTAAGCCAGTGCTCTTTTCTTCCTCAGAAGGAAGCACAGGGACCAGGTCTGGATAAGGATCTTGGTAGTAGAGGGCTTGAACCCTTTATGCCTCATTGTAACTGTGATCTAGATCCCCGCCTTCCTTTAGTTTTCTGTAGGGGTGAACCTACCATTGAAGCAAAAGTGGGTTTCCATTGCAGGTATGACACCTACTTTGTAACCACAGCACAGAGAAAAGGTTTAAGGACCCAAATCCAGATTGGTTTCAGTATACATATCTTTAAAGGTAGAAAAAGCATTGGTATAGGTGAACAAAGCATATGGATAATAAATATAATTTGGTTCTATATTACATTAGTTAGCAGATGATGGCTGTTGTGAATGGATCTTTCCATATAGGCAAGGCCAGATTAAGGTGATGAGGGCCATAGAACAGCCCCCATTCCCATGCTGTCCATGTACAAGCTATTCTAGGAGCTATTGGTGGCCAGAATACTGTTGCTGATTTAAACTTACACACGTTGAATTGTGTAACTCACCATGGCAAATCACTGCTAACTTAAAAGGTACCAAGCATGTCAAGAAGTATGTACTCAACTGGGCAAGGGACATGCATCTAGTAATGCAACTGGCAGAACTGGTACCTCCTTAGTTAGCAGGTGTTTATTGTGGTGAATTGTGCAGTTCATGTGGGCATTTCTAAATGATATTATGATTTTCACCAATAAATAATTAAAAAAACACACACTAAAGGACAGCAACCAAGGTTCCCTTTAAGCACACCTCTGCTTCCCTGCATTTTAGTTCACTGATGCCCAGGATGT